CCCCAGTGATGCCCCCAGTGATGCCCCCAGTGATGCCCCCAATGATGCCCCCAATGATGCCCCAATGATGCCCCCAATGATGCCCCCAATGATGCCCCCAATGATGCCCCCAATATGCCCCCAATGATGCCCCCCAATGATGCCCCCAATGATGCCCCCAATGATGCCCCCAATGATTGCCCCCAGTGATGCCCCCAGTGATGCCCCCAGTGATGCCCCGTGATGCCCCAGTGATGCCCCCAGTGATGCCCCCAGTGATGCCCCAGTGATGCCCCCAGTGATGCCCCCAGTGATGCCCCAGTGATGCCCCAGTGATGCCCCCAGTGATGCCCCCAGTGATGCCCCCAGTGATGCCCCAGTGATGCCCCAGTGATGCCCCCAGTGATGCCCCCAGTGATGCCCCCAATGATGCCCCAATGATGCCCCAATGATGCCCCCAATGATGCCCCAATGATGCCCCCAATGATGCCCCAATGATGCCCCCATGATGCCCCCAATGATGCCCCCAATGATGCCCCCAATGATGCCCCCCATGATGCCCCAGTGATGCCCCAATGATGCCCCCAATGATGCCCCCAATGATGCCCCCAATGATGCCCCCAATGATGCCCCCAATGATGCCCCCAGTGATGCCCCCAGTGATGCCCCCAGTGATGCCCCCAGTGATGCCCCCAGTGATGCCCCCAGTGATGCCCCCAGTGATGCCCCCAATGATGCCCCCAATGATGCCCCCAGTGATGCCCCCAATGATGCCCCCAGTGATGCCCCCAGTGATGCCCCCAGTGATGCCCCCAATGATGCCCCCAGTGATGCCCCCAGTGATGCCCCCAATGATGCCCCCAGTGATGCTGCCCGTGATGTCCCCCCAGATGCCCCCAATGATGCCCCCCAATGATGCCCCCAATTGATGCCCCCAATGATGCCCCCAATGATGCCCCTCCAAGCCCCGAAGCCCTTATGCACATGCGCCCAACTTCACGCACTCAAGCTTTTCTTTCCCTTCCCCAACCCACCTTTCACGTCCAGGCACAGAGCAATCCCCCCATGTTGAGCCCGCCAGCTGTCTGTCTGAAGCAACGCCCTCTCTCCAATTGACCAGCGCCAGTGCCCAATCACGCATGCCCATCCCACCTCCCCTGCCCATCCCACCCTCCCCTGCCCATCCCAACCCTCCCCTGCCCATCCCAACCCTCCCCTGCCCATCCCAACCCTCCCCTGCCCATCCAACCCTCCCCTGCCCATCCCAACCCTCCCCTGCCCATCCCACCCTCCCCTGCCCATCCCACCCTCCCCCTGCCCATCCCACCCTCCCCTGCCCATCCCAACCCTCCCCTGCCCATCCCACCCTCCCCTGCCCATCCCACCCCTCCCCTGCCCATCCCACCCTCCCCTGCCCATCCCAACCCTCCCCTGCCCATCCCAACCCTCCCCTGCCCATCCCAACCCTCCCCTGCCCATCCCAACCCTCCCCTGCCCATCCCAACCCTCCCCTGCCCATCCCAACCCTCCCCTGCCCCATCCCAACCCTCCCCCTGCCCATCCCACCCTCCCCTGCCCATCCCAACCCTCCCCTGCCCATCCCCAACCCTCCCACTGCCCATCCCACCCTCCCCTGCCCATCCCACCCTCCCTGCCCATCCCAACCCTCCCCTGCCCATCCCAACCCTCCCCTGCCCATCCCAACCCTCCCCTGCCATCCCAAAACCCATAGCCAACCCTCCCCTGCCCATCCCAACCTCCCCTGCCCATCCAACCCTCCCTGCCCATCCCAACCCTTCCCCGGCCCCATCCCACCTCCCACTGCCCATGCCCACCCTCCCCTGCCCATTCCCACCCTCCCATGCCCATCCCACCCTCCCCTGCCCATCTCACCCTCCCACTGCCCACCCCCCCCCCCCCCCCCCCGCCCACCTTTCACGTCCAGCCAGAGCGCGATTCCTCCGTGGATGAACCGCCAGCTGTCGGGCCGCAGCGACGCCCCCGTGGGGCTGCCCCATGGTGGCCACCACCACTCGGAGGTTGCTGCGATGGTACCATGTGGTTAAGAGGAGTGAGGAGTTCCTTAGTGGGGTTAAGTGCAGCAGCTGAGGCTCAGCTGTCAGTCCTTAGAGAGACCCGTGGGGCTGCCCCATGGTGGCCACCACCACCCGCAGGTTGCTGCGGGGGGAGAATGCGGTTAAGAGGAGTGGGGAGTTTATGTATGCGGTCAAGTATGGCAGTTAAGGCTCAGCTGTGAGCCTGCAGTGACACCCCGCAGGGCTGCCCCATGGTGGCCACCACCACCCGCAGGTTGCTGCGGGGGGAGAATGCGGTTAAGAGGAGTGGGGAGTTTATGTATGCGGTCAAGTATGGCAGTTAAGGCTCAGCTGTGAGCCTGCAGTGACACCCCGCAGGGGCTGCCCCATGGTGGCCACCACCACTCGCAGATTACTGTAGGGGAAGGAGGGTTGCAGGGGAGGGGAGTGTTTATTGGTGGGGCTGAGTGCAGAGACTGAGTGCGGAGTCTCAGCTGCTGCCTGCAGAGACTGAGTGCGGAGTCTCAGCTGCTGGCCTGCAGAGACTGAGTGCGGAGTCTCAGCTGCTGGCCTGCAGAGACTGAGTGCGGAGTCTCAGCTGCTGGCCTGCAGAGACTGAGTGCGGAGTCTCAGCTGCTGGCCTGCAGAGACTGAGTGCGGAGTCTCAGCTGCTGGCCTGCAGAGACTGAGTGCGGAGTCTCAGCTGCTGGCCTGCAGAGACTGAGTGCGGAGTCTCAGCTGCTGGCCTGCAGAGACTGAGTAGCGGAGTCTCAGCTGCTGGCCTGCAGAGACTGAGTGCGGAGTCTCAGCTGCTGGCCTGCAGAGACTGAGTGCGGAGTCTCAGCTGCTGGCCTGCAGAGACTGAGTGCGGAGTCTCAGCTGCTGGCCTGCAGAGACTGAGTGCGGAAGTCTCAGCTGCTGGCCTGCAGAGACTGAGTGCGGAGTCTCAGCTGCTGGCCTGCAGAGACTGAGTGCGGAGTCTCAGCTGCTGGCCTGCAGAGACTGAGTGCGGAGTCTCAGCTGCTGGCCTGCAGAGACTGAGTGCGGAGTCTCAGCTGCTGGCCTGCAGAGACTGAGTGCGGAGTCTCAGCTGCTGGCCTGCAGAGACTGAGTGCGGAGTCTCAGCTGCTGGCCTGCAAGAGACCTGAGTACGGAGTCTCAGCTGCTGGCCTGCAGAGACTGAGTGCGGAGTCTCAGCTGCTGGCCTGCAGAGACTGAGTGCGGAGTCTCAGCTGCTGGCCTGCAGAGACTGAGTGCGGATGTCTCAGCTGCTGGCCTGCAGAGACTGAGTGCGGTCAAGTCGCAGCTGCTGGCCTGCAGAGACTGAGTGCGGAGTCTCAGCTGCTGGCCTGCAGAGACTGAGTGCGGAGTCTCAGCTGCTGGCCTGCAGAGACTGAGTGCGGAGTCCTCAGCTGCTGGCCTGCAGAGACTGAGTGCGGAAGTCCTCAGCTGCTGGCCTGCAGAGACTGAGTGCGGAGTCTCAGCTGCTGGCCTGCAGAGACTGAGTGCGGAGTCTCAGCTGCTGGCCTGCAGAGACTGAGTGCGGAGTCTCAGCTGCTGGCCTGCAGAGACTGATGTGCGGAGTCTCAGCTGCTGGCCTGCAGAGACGCCCCTGAGGCTGGTCCACAGTAGCAACCCCCACATACAGATTGCTGCAGGGGAGGGAGGTTCAGGTGAAAGGGGCAAAGGTGAGGGGGGGGAGAGGGTGGGTATGGGTTAGCTTTTGAGTCAACTCAAAAGTGAGGTGGGGGGGGGAGTGTGGGTATGGGTTAGGTTAGGTGGCAGCCTGCAACACCACACCGTACGGCTAGCCAATGGTGGCAAGGCAACCACCACTAGGAGGGCTCTGCGGGGTAGCATGCGGTCAAGAGGAGTGGAGAGTGTATATATGGGGTTGGGTGCAGGTGCAGCATGACAGTTCAGCTGCCGCCCTGTAGGGGCTGGCTCATGGTTGCTGCGGGGGAAGGGGAGGGAGTGAAGGGTTTATGGGGGTTTCGGCACTGCAGATGGGCAAAGGGCGTGAGCTTGCTGTGACCGCCCCATCTGCCCCCATCTGCCCCCATCTGCCCCCATCTGCCCCATGTGCCCCATGTGCCCCCATGTGCCCCATATGCCCCATGTGCCCCATATGCCCCATGTGCCCCATGTGCCCCAATAGTGGCAACCACCACACAGAGATTGTTGTAGCCATAAATGCTGCGAGTAACTGGTATATAACGGGATGATGGGCGTGAGAAGCGGGAGTACATGGGATTCATCCTAGAGAGGCTAGCAGGGTGTGAGTACGCACACACTGCAGGGCTTGGCCCATGGCGCACACACTGCAGGGCTGGCCCATGGCGCACACACTGCAGGGCTGGCCCATGGCGCACACACTGCAGGGCTGGCCCATGGCGCACACACTGCAGGGCTGGCCATGGCGCACACACTGCAGGGCTGGCCCATGGCGCACACACTGCAGGGCTGGCCCATGGCGCACACACTGCAGGGCTGGCCCATGGCGCACACACTGCAGGGCTGGCCATGGCGCACACACTGCAGGGCTGGCCCATGGCGCACACACTGCAGGGCTGGCCCATGGCGCACACACTGCAGGGCTGGCCCATGGCGCACAATGCAGGGCTGGCCCATGGCGCACACACTGCAGGGCTGGCCCATGGTGGTTACCACTACACAGAGATTGCTCAATTCTCCCGAGTGGAGAGACTAATAGGAGGAGTGCAGCGGTGACGGGAGAGGTTGATTCAGGAAGATTGCTTCTAACGGATTGACTTATGGATATTCTAAACAAGGCAGTAATGGAGGGTACGTACGAGGAGAGGTGATCCAAGAGAGCAGTCTCGGCTTGAGCCACTGAGTCCAGCCCCTCTTCCCTTGCCACTGGCAATGTGGGGGGTGTTGTGAGCAAGGGGGCCCGGGATGGATGGAGAGGTGAAGCAGTGAGGCATAAAAGTCAGTGCATCAAGGGAGGGCACGGGCAAGGGCAAGTCCAAGTGGTTGGCTATTTCATGCGGGAACTGTCCATGTGGGCGAAATCAGGTGGCATCGAAACAGGTGCTGCAAGGAAAGAACATGCACTTGCCATGGCGCCATGGATAGACCGCACATTGCATACAGAGATGGGCTGTATCGTGCATGTGGAGTGAAACGAATGCAGGAGACCAAGTCAAAGACACAAATCCACTGACACGAAACACCAGTGTTAACACATCTAGCATTGCAGTGCATACAGGGTTACAGGGTAACGCACCTTCGTCAATGGTGGCACTTGCTAGTTGCTCCACCAGTTGCTGAGTCATGATTGGTGCATAGCTGAAATTGGGCAGGACCATAAGAAACATGAAAAATACACAAGTTGTAACGTACGTGCTACATCTGTATTAGCTACATGGTAACAGTTGCTTCTATACGCCAGATTTTGAGAACTATTAGAAGGTACATGTTATTCTTTTGTATGCAACTTGCGACAGATGCAGGGTATGAGGACGAGCAACAACCTTACCTTAACCAAACGGTTGCCATTTTGAGGTATGCAAACTAGACAATGGCACGGCACACCAAGCATGCACTTTCCTTTGTGAACCAACAACGAGAAACGGCCTTTCTACCTTGAGCAAATGCAAGGAAACGGACTTATGCCTGAAAAAAACCAACTGACTAAGGTAAAAAACAAACCTTAAGGCCAAGGCGCAACTCACCCAAGCCCTGTGGCCAGCTCTGCAGCAACGGCTGCATTGAGACGAGTGCTGCCGCCCACCAGCAGCACGGAACAGCTCTTCAGCTGATTGGCCACCGCCCCTGCCAGTGCCTCCCAGCCCTTGATCAGGGTTGGCCAGGCCTGGAAGACAGGCTCGGAAGGTGCAGAGGAGGAGGAGGAAGGTTGCGGGTGTTTAAAGAGTGTGATTACAATATCTGTGTCGTCAATGTACCTGGAGGGAGTGAGGGAAAGGGGTATTTCGAGCTAGTTAGAGCCTGTCCATGAACCGAGGGGTAGGAAAGATGTTGAGGCGCTTCAAAAGTAGGGAAGGAAGAAACAAAGAGCACAATGCCGGTGACAGATTCTGTGCGCCCTTCCAAGCGCATTCGAGTAAACGAAGGGGGGAGTGATAGCTTTATAGCTTTCCCTGGCGAAACCACTAATGCCCACCATACTGACAGCATTGTCTGCCCACCAAACGATACTCACCATGCACTATCAGTGGCCTTCACTCGCCCATACAGCGGACTCGCCACCACCAGCGACCGCTCCCGCCCCTCCTTGCCCTTCACAGCGCCCTCCTTGCTCCCGAAGCCAGCTGGCGGCGTCACAGCCACCGACAGCGCGTCCTCCTGCACGCTCACCGCCACGTGGCGTGCCTGGATTGGCCGGAGCGCAGCAGGGATGGGCACGCGGACCTCCACAGAGGGTCCTTCGTCCGTGAACTGTGGGGGCGGGGGGGGAGGGGGAGGGGAGGGGAGGGGAGGGGAGGGAAGGGGGAAAAAGGGGCTAACTGGGGAGAATGTGGGGGGAAAGGGGCTGGGGACGCGGACCTCCACGGTCGGTCCTTCGCCTGTGAAATGGTTGGGAGGATGAGAGGGGAAAGGGGGGGGGGGGGGTGGGGGTTGGGGGGAGGGTGGGAGGGAAGAGGGGTATGGATCTAAAGAGGATGGGAATGCGGATTTCCACGGACGGTACTTCGTCCGTGAACTTGGGGGGGGGGGAGGAAGAAAGAGGATGGGGGCAAGGGGAGAAGGGGAAAGGGGGCGGAGAAGGGGGTGAGTGGGTCCTTTGTCTGTGAAGCGGGAGGATTAGGGGGGGTGAGGGTAGGGGGAAGAGAGGGGAATGGGGGGCAGAAAATAACTCGTGCTTGGCAGCCGTCTTCCCCTTTCTTCACAGAGGGTCTCTTGACCTTGGGCTGGGAGGGGATGGGTGGGAGAGTGGAGGGCGGGGAACGGGGGAGGCAGGAGGAGGGGCACAGAAATAGGAGGTGCGGGAAAGCGGAAGTTTGGAATTATGAGCTTTGAAGAGGCTCACATTGCAGCGGAAAGGGGGCGGGAAAAGAGTGAGCGGGTACAAGGTACAGGGTTTTGGGTACAAGCAGGGGTCAAGCAATGAAGCCCGACTGCAACACCAGCAGCAGAGACAGCACAAACACTTCGAAACGTCGTGGAAACAACTACCGGTATATTCTCCGTTTACTGATCATGAGGAGGAACTCAAAACGAAATAATGAGAATCGTACAGAATATTCCTGCTTGGCTTGGGATGATCCGGCCGAATCCGCTGCTCTCACAACCCCGCGCGAACTCTTCGCTCCCCCATGCGTGCTCACACACGCTCTCCCTGGTAGCACGTGACCAAAACCGCTGTGATTAGAACGAGATGCCGACACGAGGCCTCGCGAGCAAAGCTCGTTTCCGCTGTGGAAGGCAGTGCGAGAGGATGGGGCGATAGCATTGGAGCTGCGAGCAGGGGGGCTCGACGCAACATGTAATCGGCTGGAACGCGCAGACAGCGATGAGCGGCGCGATCTGCATGCTGAATGCGGTTCGGCGATCGGAGAAGACGTGAAAGCGGCGCGCTGTGCCAAGCTTGCCGCCATCGTCAGAGATTTCAGAAGGTGGTGGGCTTGGGCTGGAGCGCGATGTATCAATGCCACTTCGTGCTGGAAGCGAGCACTGAAGCGAGTATGTGCTGTACGTAGGAATTAAAACAAGCTTCCCGCAAGTTGAGTTTCCTGCAAAACAGTTCTCTTTGTTGTTATTATGAAATACTTACAAATGAAGGATAACCAGCCTTCTCATCTCTGCCGCTCTACATAAGAGCTAGCACTTCACAATTTTGGTGACCACAAGCATTGTATCGTATGTGTGTCACTCTGAAGCGGCATTACCCGCAGCCATGCCACTGCCAATGAATGATGTCCAATGAGAGTCGCATCTAGTCTCAACTGATAGCAGTCCAGCGAACCATCACTTCCTCTCAATGGAGTGTCGTATGACGTGTCCAGTCTTGTGGCCCTGTACCGTACTTGCGTGTCATCAGTGCCCCTCCCTCAACTTCAGGGCTTTGCTTTCACATGATCTCATGCTTTCACATGATCTCATGCTTTCACACTTCATTTGCATGCTTCCTTCTCTTATGGTGCTGCGAGTTATAACAAGTTGGGCCTGCCAGCAGCCAGCCCACCTGCTCACGCCTGGGCATTGCGTTGCAAATGCTAATGTTCCTCTCCCACTGCCAGCACCATCCAGCGTACAGTAGCTACTGGCTTCCCGTCCGCACTCATATTGGAAGCCGCGGCAGCAACCCACCCAACCTCCTATGGGCAACGCTTGGTTTTAAAACACCGACGCGGCTACCACAGGGCACCACACGCCAATGAGCTGTGTCATCGCACAGCACCGCACAGCACCTTACAGCTACGCTGCATACGATCACCAGCCAGCACCCTTTCACCTTTTCCTCTTGTCTCATCCAGCTGCATCTGTATTTGTACCTGCACCTGCATGTACACCCCGTACCCTATATGGCATATCAGCCTGCCTTGTAGTTCAGCCAGAGGGAAACCATCTTGGGCTGGAATGTACCCTCTAGAAGTTTCCCCTTGACCACCCTAAAGTGGCCTTGCACTTGTACTCTGTCAGCGGACAGGGTGGTTCAACCACGACCCTATCGCCCAGCTGTACCCTCTATAAGCGTCCCCTTTACCGCATCACCCTGAGCTTGTATCGGAACTCCGTGAACAGGGTAAGGTGGTTCAAGGACCGTTCTGTGTCCAAGCTGTACCCCTTACAAGCATCCCCTCTACCGCCGCATCTGGGGCTTGTAACTGAACTCGGTGAGCAGTGCGAGGTGATCCCTGGACCACACTCTCTCCGTTCTGTACCCTTTATAAGGCTTTTGAGACATCTCAAAAGTAGTCCGTTCTGTACCCTTTATAAGCCTCTCCTCTACCGGCGCATGCGGGGCTTGTATCTGAACTCAGTGAGCAGCGCCAGGTGGTCGGACGACCACTCGGGGGACGGCAGTGCTGTGTCCTTGCGCACACTGTCCTCGTCTAGTAGCTCGAGAACAGACTCGACAGACAGGGAGTCGGCTGCAGTGAGGGGAGAAGAAAAGGGAATGAGGGGAAAGGGAGTGGAGGTACACAGATGAAGGACTGGGAGGGCAGCACCGTGTCCTTGCGCACACTGTTCTCATCCAGCAGCTCCAGCACTGACTCCACTGACAGGGAGTCGGCTGCAATGTGTGTGTGAGGGGGAAAAGAAAGGAAGTGACACCCAGTAAGTTACACGCACACACGGGGCGGCAGCCCTGTGTCCTTGCGCACACTGTCCTCGTCCAGTAGCTCCAGCACCGACTTGACTGATAAGGGGAAGGAATGGGAGGAGAGGGAGAAGAGGGGAAGAGATGGGAGATGGCAGCAGCCCACCCAGCAGCTCACTGCTACTGCGTAAATAGGTATAACTTGTTGCCACCAGGCCTGTCGATTGACGGGCATATGCCCTTAATGCCCTGAAATTCCGGGCTACTTTTGCTCCAGCTCGACTGCATAAAGTGTTAGGATCGCCCTGTACCCGTGCCACCAAGTGCTTTGTTCAACCCTTCCCCGGATGCGTTAAGTGCTCCAACCAGGCCTTCCCCACCCACAAAGTTTTGATTTCCGGTTCTAGGATACCCCCCCCCCCAAGAAATTCTGCCTGACCCCCTCACTCCCACCCCCCCGTTTCTCCTTAGGTTGCATGAGAGCGTGCCAAGGGGATTTTTCCCTTAGCGTTTTCTAGCCAATCCCGTGTTTGTGATATCTCTAAGTCAGCTTTGGAGCAGCCGAACTTTCCCTTAGCTAAAATAGTGTAAGTGCAAGCCCGGATATCAAGTTTTCACTTTGGCCTGCGCCCGTGACCGTTAAGGGCGCCAAAACACTCAGGTACGGCCAATACAAGGTCAGATAGGGAGGAGCTGGGGACTCCAAGTATGGGCCCCAGGAACTTCGACAGGCCTGGTTGCCACGCTACCGTATGCTCACAGTACCCACCCACCCACCCCTGTACTGGTATAGAAGCTGTGGACCAGAGTGCCCATGAAGTAACGAGTCACGTTCGGGAAGAGCGGCTCGCGGCTGCTCGGATAGGGGCAAGGTGTTGCCGCACTACGGTGTGCTCACAACACACACGGGTGTAGCACAACAGCAGAGACCAATCTGTCACCCCCTCACCGGTATAGAAGGTGTAGTCCAGCATCCCCATGAAGTCGCGAGTCACGTTGGTGAACAGCAGCTCGCTGCTGCTGCTGCTGCTGCTCGAATAGGTGTAACATGCTTCCACACTACAGTGTATGCTCACAGCACGCACCGGTATAGAAGGTGTAGTCCAGCGTGCCCATGAAATCCCGAGTCACGTTTGTGAACAGCGGCTCGCTGCTGCTCGCGTCCATGCGCCGCCGCTGCCTCTCCGCCACCGAGCCGCCGCGGCTCAACGATGCGTATGCACTGACCTGTGAGAGCGGGAGATAGAAAGGACGGGGAAAGAAGACAGAGAGCACGCAGAGAGGGGCTCGCTGCAAATGGTGGCAGAGCTTGGAGGCGGGTCGCAGGATGCAAAGAGGGTAGGTGGCGAGGCTGAGGAGACCAATTAACGCTGGTAACAACGTTACACGGCCGCCATACCACCAGCAGCAGACATACCAGCGGCAGCTGGTGGCAAAGCTTAGAAGCGGGGCGCAGGATGCCGAGAGGGTCAGTGGCGAGCTCTGGGTGGTTGGCATCGACTCGCCCTGTGGCGAGCAGTGAGTGGGGCGCGCTGCATGTGGGGCGAGGGGTGGGGGGGAACGAAAGAAGAGGGCAGGGGAGAGGGATGAGGGAGACATAGGGAGATCTTGAGAGGAAAATGGGAGACACAACGTGGAAGGACAAAATGCTGCTGCTTAGCTCCGTTCCTCCCACCACCCTCCTTATCTCCCCCAACACCCCCTTTCTTCCTCCCCCTCACCTACCAGGCGTTCTTGAAGTCCCAAACCTCACCTGCCCGGCACGCTGTTCAAGTCCCCCGCCACCAGCATGGGGATGTCTGCACTGGCTATGCCAACACCTTTCCTCCCACAAACCTCAACTGCCCAGCACACTGCTAAAGCTTCAACGTTCCCTCTCTCAATTCACCCACCATCTACCCCCAGCCTCGAGGCCCACCTGCCAGGCACGCTGTTGAAGCCCCCCGCCACCAGCATGGGGATATCCGCACTGGCTGCTTTGGGATGGATCAGATCAGAGCCCACCTGCTGCTGAAGCCACAAACCTGCTGTCTTAAAGCTCACCAGATCGACACACCTGCTGTCAAGCCCCACCTGCCAGGCACGCTGTTGAAGTCCCCTGCCACCAGCATGGGAATGTCCGCACTGGCTGCGATCTTCTCCAGGCCCTTGAGCAGCGTGTGCACCTGGTGGGGGGGGAGGGGAGGAGGGAGAGAAGGAAAGGTCGTTGCGAGAAGGGAAGACAGTTGGGTAATGGCTCAGAGCGACCACGGGGATGTGCGCACTGGCAGCGATCTACTCCAGGCCCTTGAGCAGCGTGTGCACCTGGCCGGGGGGGGGGGGGGAAGGGGGGAGAAGGAACGGTCATCTTGAGAAGGTAAGATGGCGGGGTATTATATGAAATCGAGCATGGAAGCCATGAGAATCTGGACTGAGTTGGAGATGGCTGCATCTTCTCCAACTTGGTCGTCATGAGAAGGAAAGGCGGTTTGATAAGAGATGCGGTCCTACGATGTATTAAAACCAGCATAGGAGAGAGGAGAGGTAGAGGTCTGGAAAGAAGAAGAGGGGGAGAGGAAGGAGAGAGCAGGGAGGTGACGTTTCCTCACCTGCCACAGCTTCACGTCCTTGCGTTCAGGGTTAGCGTGGATGTGCGTGTTGTACCATGCCAAGCCTACCCCCTAACCTTCAGCTACCTTGTCCCCACACCAGAGCACATGTGCCACATCTTGCAACCCTTTCCCTCCTTCATCTCTCACCTGCCACAGCTTGACGTCTGTAAGCTCAGAATTGGCGTGGATGTGCGTGTTAGGCCATGCCTAGCCTACTCCCTAGCTTCCAGCCACTATGTCTCCACACTATATTGGAGTGACTTTTGAGAATTCTCAAAAGTCAACACATGCGCCACACATTGCATCCTCCCCCCTCGTCCCTCACCTGCCACAGCTTCACATCCTTGAGCTCTGGGTTACCGCGGATGCCCTACCCTGTCTGTACCATGCCTGCCCCGGCAGGCACTCTGGTTCACACCACGCCACATGCAACCCAAGTGCCTTGCACTCCCTCCCCTCCCTCATCCCTCACCTGCCACAGCTTCACGTCCTTGAGTTCTGGGTTGGCGTGGATGTGCGTGTTGGCCTGATGGGGAGGGTGGAGGGGAGGGCCATGTGTTGGCACGTCACGGCACATGTTGGCATATGAATGCATATGACAATGCATGAATGAAAGCATAGGAAAGTTGGCAACGAGACGAAAGCAGATAGAAGCAAACAACAGCAGGTCGCAACATAGGAGAACATACAATTTCAGTTTTTAGGCATCTCTGAAGTGAACAAGACTGCATGTGCACAGCACCGTGTCTCACCACACAGCACCGCATCTCACCACACAGAGCAGCTGTCTCTTGGCAGGAGGCGCATTAGCCCCGTCCTTCCCATCCGCCCCCCCTGCATCCCTCGCCTCTAGCACCACAATCAGTGCTACATTGTCCTGGTGGGAGGTGACAGTGGGCGAGAAGGGGAGGAGGTGCGTGACAGGAGCACATGCGCTGACAGTATGTGAACCCCCCCTGCGTCCCTCGCCTCTAACACCACTATCAGTGCCACGCTGTCCTGGTGGGTGGGGTTGGGAGTGGTAGGAGGTGGGTGGGGGTGGGGTGCGAGCATGAGTGGCAGGAGCACATGTGCTCGCAGCAAATAAGCCCCCCCTGCGTCCCTCGCCTCTAACACCACTATCAGTGCCACGTTGTCCTGGAGGCAGAGGGAGGGGAAGGGAGGGGAGGGGAAGGGAGGGGAGGGGAAGGGAGGGGAGGGGAGGAGGTGGGATTGGTACGGGGAAAGAGGAGAAAGGCGTGCATGCGTTGACAGCAAATGAGCCCCCCCTGCGTCCCTTGCCTCTAGCACCATTATCAGCGCCACGTTGACCTGACGGGAAGGGGGAAAGGGAGGAAGTGGGGGAGGTGGGAGTGTGAGTAACAGCAGCACGAGTGCGGGCAGCATGTGAGGATCCACCCCAACGCCCCTAACACCACGATCAGCGCTACATTGTCCTCGCGGGAAGGGGTGGGTGTGGCCGTGTGGGCGTGGGGGTGGGCGTGGGGGTGGGCGTGGGGGTGGGCGTGGGCGTGGGCGTGGGGGTGGTAGGTGTGCGTGGGAGTGGGGGTGGTGGGAGCATGAGTGACAGGAGCCCATGTGGTGACAACATGTGAGCCCGCCTGCGTCCCGCGCCCCTAGCACCACTGTCAGTGCCACGTTGCCCTGGCGGGAAGGGGCGGAGGTGAGGGTGTGTGTGGGGGTGGAGGTGGGGTGGTAGGAAAGAAAGGAGTGCAAGCATTGATATCATTGTCCCCCCAACCCCGAGCAGGTGGATGGGCGCGGCCTTCTCAGTGGGTGGGTGGGCGGTGGGTGTGTGATACAGGGATGCAGGTGTACCGTGGAAGCAAGGACGGGAGAGGTAACACCGTAACAGCAAGTGTACCTTGAGCAAGCGGTTGAGAGCTGCCTTCTTGGTGGGAGGTGCGAGTGCCTCAGAGAGCGATAGCGCTGCCTTGTTGAACTCCACCTGTGAGAGAGTGAGAAAGAGAGTGAGAGAGAGAGTGAGAGAGAGAGTGAGAGAGAGGTGAGGGAGAGATGTGAAGGAGAGATGAGAGGAATGCGCTCACCCAACCTCACCCCAGCGTTCAACCCCTCCCAGCACTCAACCATCCAGCCAGCGTTCATAACAACAGCCACTCGTGACAACCACGCACCCCCACAATACGCACATCATACTTCTTGCAGAGGGAGAAGCGGAATGTTTGAGTCGCATCACAAACCAACACGCACATCAAACGAGAGGCAGCATTTCATCCCCTTGCTCATTCTGCACCTCTTTTTGCCCCCCCATTACCCCCCGCCTCCTAAAGCCGCACCTCATACACCTCTCACCCCCGGCTGTGCACCTCTCACTCACCCCTCTGCCTCCCCCGTCCCCAGAGGCGCGGGCGACACGCACCTCTCACCCCGCCCCCTTTCCTCAGCATGCACGCACGCACCTCCTACTTCTAGACGAGGGAGAAGCAGTCTCTTCCCCCCTCACTCACACCACACACAGGGCTCCCCCCAGCACTCATCCCCACCTTCCCCCCCACTCGGCCACGCACCTCGTACTTCTTGACAAGGGAGAAGCGGTCGCGGCGGAAGAAGGTGGCACAGCCGTCTATGGCATAGGCCGTGCCCGTGTATACCTGGGGGGTGGGGGGCCGGGGAGTGGGAGGGGACGGGAAGGGGACAAGCGGCACGGCACGTCTTAATACAGCCGTCTATGGCGTAGGCCGTGCCCGTGTATACCTGGGGGGTGGGGGGGGAGAGGGGAGGATGCGACAGGGAGGGGGCATGGTAGCTGTTGAGTCGACTCACCACAACACACCACAACACACCACTACACACCACAACACCACAACTCCATTCTCACCGTGAAAGAAGCAGAACACCTCGAATGCCTTCCTACTCAACACAGCCTCTCTTGTCTTGCGCGTTCAGGTCCTTCCTCAAGGCCATGAGCAGCAGTCGGTACCACACCGCACCACACTACACTGCACCGCACCGCACCACACCACACCACACCACACCACACCATCACAAGCAGCAAGCAACGCACCTCAGCAGTTTTCTTCTTGAACACGGACGCGTACCCCTGCTTCTTCAGCTCGCTGCATTCACACTCCAGCTCCAATCCCACTCACCACGCACCAGGGAGCCAGCCACAGCAACCCACGCACCTCGGCGGTCTTCTTCTTGAACACGGACGCGTACCCCTGCGTCTCCTCCTCGCTGTGTCTGGACTACTCAAGCCCGAATGCCGCACACACCACACCACAGGGAGCAAGCAGCACGCCACCCACGCACCTCGGCGGTCTTCTTCTTGAACACGGACGCGTACCCCTGCTTCTCCAGCTCGGGCCCAAAGAACTCCTCAAAGTGGTCGCTCTGCACCTGCACTTGGTTTGATTGGGCAGAGGGGGGAGGTGGAATTGCGGGAGGAAGGGGAGTGTGTGAGAGACTTGGATTGCCATTGGGATCCTCACAAAGCCGTCCAAACACCTGCTCGCTGCGTACCCCTGCTTCTCCAGCTCGGACCCAAACAACTCCTCCAAGTGGTCGCTCTGCACCTGAAGGTTGTTGAAGGGAGGGGGGGGGAGGGAGGAGGGGATTGCATGAGAGGTGTGGAGTGGAGTGGAGTGCGGTGCACACTACAGCACCATTGAGCTCGGGCAGCTCGGGCCCAAACAACTCCTCAAAGTGGTCGCTCTGCACCTGCAAATCGTAAACAGGGGAGGGGGGTGGAGGGGAGCGGGGAGCGGGGAAAGGGATTGTATGAGAGAGTTTAAATTCATCGCGCCATTGAGCTCAGGCCCGGAGAACTTGTACAAGTGATTGCACATTGTGTGACAGAACCGCACCGTGAAGCCCTTCCGTGCCCACTGCCCCCACTCTCGTTACAAGCACACTCCCTCTCGTTACAAGCACACGCACTCACCTCCTGCAAGCACATGATGTCAGCTTGATACTCCAGCATCTCCCTTAACAGATTCTGCTTCCTGTAGGCCCACGACAGCGCCCAGGGCGGGCAGTAGCTGTAGTCTGTACATCTCACTCGTCGCATACAGGTCCTCTCGTTACAAGCACACTCACACTCGTTGCAGGAACCACACGTACCTCCTGCAAGCACATGATATCCGCCCGATACCCCAGCAGCTCCCTCAACAAGTTCTGCTTCCTGTACGCCCACGAGAGCGCCCAGGGCGGGCAGTAGCTGTACATCTCACTCGTCGCATACAGGTCCGCCAGCACATTGTATGACAGCACCGTGAAGCCCCCCCCCTCCCCCTCCGCGCGCGCCTCCCCCCATCTCCCCCTCCGCGCCCCCCACAGGGACCATCCGCCGGGGGGTGGGGGAGGGCGCGGGGATGACCCGGGAGGTGAGGAGGGTGGAGGGGGGCGCGACGGGGAGCCCAGTGGCGGCTTCTATGGGGACGCATTCGAGCTTGAGCACGTGCCCTACGTCGTCTGTGGTGGGCGTGTAGGGTTTCCCCCGGCCCACTTCAAACCACACCTCCCCACTGCCGCCACCACTAGCGTTGGAACCCCCTCCAGTGGTGTCAGACTGGTACGCGAGGCCCCCTGGCGGCCTGTGCGCGAATCCCCCCCCCATCGGCCGCTGCATACCCTGCATCCCCTGCTGCTGCCCTCCCGGCTGCTGCTCCCCCTGCCCGTACCCCCCTCCAGGCGCGCCGTTCCCCATGCCCCCCTGTGCTCCCCCCGCTCCCGCCAGCCCCGTGGTCCCATTCCCGCTGTTGAACTTCCCAAATAGCTCCTCCTCCTCCGCCGTCGCGCCGTTCTCCCGCCTCTGCGCCCCGCCAACCCCCCCCGCGCCCCCCACAGCAGCCCCCCCCGAGGTTATCTCCCCCGGGAGAGTCCCGTCGCTGCTGCCATGGGTGCTTCCGCCGAGGCCGCGCGAGTGCAGCGCGCGGTGGCGCGGCCAGGCGGCCTGGAAGCAGAGCGGCGAGCAGTGGTAGCTACGCGCGATGGGCAGCTTGGCCTTCACGCACCCCAGGCACTGGAGAGTGGCGGGTTCATTGCCGTGCACTGAACACACGGCGACTCGCTTGTCGCTCTGCACGCGGTACCTGGGAGGTAGGAAGGGGAGGGGGGAGATGGGGAGGGGGAGATGGGGTGGTGCGGTGGAATGGGGTTGATAATGGCACCTGGGAGTCAACGCTATCAACGCATTCATCACAATCCCCGTACCAGCGGCAGCGGATGCAGAAGCCATCGACAGAGTTGGTGTCGGGAACGCCTTGGTTTTTTTAGTCGACTCAAAGTCAATTCATTCATCGAAGTCAACGCATTCCATTCATTCAACGCAGTCAACGAGGTCAACGAACCAGCGGCAGCGGATGTAGTAGCCATCGATGGGGTTGGTTTCGGGAATGTCCTCCGTGGTGATGGTGCCATCGGGCTTGCGTAGCAGCACGTACGGGCACAGCAGTCAACGCAGTCAACGAAGTCAACGCATTCAACGCACGCATCACTCGTACCAGCGGCAGCGGATGTAGTAGCCATCGATGGGGTTGGTGTCGGGAATGTCCTCCGTGGTGATTGTGCCATCGGGCTTGCGTAGCAGCACGTACGGGCACAGCTCGCACCCCGCGATCGGGATGTCCGACGGCAGATGCACTCGCAGCACGCTCAGCATCGCTCTCTACCGTCGTCGCCTACGTCGCATGCGTCGCCTAAGTCGCCCGACGTCGCCCGGCCCTCATGCAAGGTTCGGTTGTGACAGACCGAAACGGAGACGGGAACTGAGAAAGACAGCTAGACCGCACTTAACCACGAGAGCTCGAACTCAGATCGGTAGAGCACTGACCTAAGTGGCGACAAAGTTGCTACGACGCCAACCAGGCCTGGGAAAGCTCCGCTAATCGATCCGGTAGTTGAAATAGAGAAACTGCACTAGAAATGTAAACGCTTATAGCGGGACCGACCCGTTTCGGTTTCTTAAAAATATCAGCCGTCACTGGCTGTGCTAGTTGTCGTCATGAGGAAACCCTAATTTTCCGAGCCGGAATATGGAACATTTAATCACCCAGAAAATCCTATGGGTCCGCCATGAAGCCGAACTTTGCAAAGTAAGAGGCGAGTCGTGAAAAAAACGCGAGAGATTTCTCCCAAACCGACGGCTCGGGTTGCGAGCTAGCGTACCTCGCGCGTCAGCTCCAGTCAGGATCCATGGTGGGAGAAAATATCAATGGGCTTTTTCCATCTCTGGGTTGTCACCTGACTTTTATGCGAACTCAGGCCGTGTCCAGACTCCAGTCCAGAGACGAATGTCCTTGGAGGTTCCAGATCAGCTCCTTGATTTGCTGAAATTTCACCACGGTGCTGCTCGGTACATACACACTGACGATGGTAATTTACACACAGCGAGTTTCCAGCTGACTGCTGGATGACTGGGTCGTGTGCTTGCTGACGTGTGCCGCTAATCGGCAGCAATTGCTAGCCGTCGATGAAGGGTGATAGACGCGAGGGAAGGGCTGAAACTGCAGTGATCAAGCCTTGAGTACGAGCCAGTCAGGGTTCGCAGCGTGATACTTCGCGAATTGTGACGAAACCTTTTGAGTCTAAGCTGCCTGTGTCACAAAGACAACACCATGGTTTGGCGAGGAGCAACGCGACCCCAGGTTCGAAATTTGTTACACTCAAAAAACTCGAACCCTTGTTTCTCATCGAGGTACAAACACACAAGTACTGTAGTTCTCGGGACTAGTGCGAATCTGCACCCGCCCTTCACCTGACACCTTTCTCGCGCGCACACGGCCAACAGCACCTGCTGTGTCTGAGACCAAAAATGGCGGTGACACTTGTACAGACGAGCCATTTCAGTTGCAACTATTTCATGAACACTAGTAAACGTGAATAGACGGAAGGATATAGGCAACGTTGACCGAGTCGTGTCCAGTGTTTGCACCGTCAAGCATCTTCGTCGCAAGGTGGATTTCGACATTTTTTGTCTGGTCCATCCATAGCGCCGTCGTTCGGTAAAAGAAATTAGCGACGCCGCGGCTTCGTTACAATCACCCTCGTTCGTGCCTCGACTCTTTCGCTGTGACTGGTATCGGCGGCTAACGAATCTCGTCATAATCACCTTCGTTCAAGAGGCAAATTGTTCTTCCGTCTCATGCAATTGACGTCAATCATCCCCCTTCAATAGCACCCGCAACCCCTCACGTCTCGCCTCCAGCAGCCTGACGTCACTTGACGTCACGTGACGTCACATACCTCTCGACACGTACCCGCGGTCGTACCACCCTCCCACTCTTGCCTCTCGTCAGCATGACCTCACTCCCGACAGCTCTCAGCAGCAGCGGCGGCGGGGGGAAGGTGGTTCTGGTGGGGGTGCGACTGCACCAGCCGAACGCGAATCTCCTGTGGGGCGGCGGCAGCAGCAGCAGCAGCGGCGGCGGCGCGGCAATCTCGAGGGAGGGGCAGGCGCTGGTGGAATTCACTCTCGCGCGGCTGGTGGTGCCCGGCGATCGTATTGTCGCCATGGCCGTCCGGATAGTCCGCGCCCCGCACACCTCAGGTGCGTGCTGCCCCTCAGTCCTGAGGCGCGGCAATCTCGAGGGAGGGGCAGGGCTGGAGCGTGGAGGTGCCTGGCGATCGTACCGTTGCCATGGCTGCCCGAATCCCCGCTGTCCTCGCGTCGTTCTTTACCCGCCCTGCCGCCACCAGGGTAGCGCACGGCTTGGCTCAACTCAGAGCAAGACTTTTGAGACGTCTCAAAAGTCGCCACCAGGGTAGCGCACGGCTTGGCTCAACTCAGAGCAAGGCGCGGGGGGAAGGGGAGGCCGGGGGGAGTAGAGGAGGAGTGGAGTGAGCGTAGATGAAGGGAAGCGAGTGAATGCACAGGAGCTAGCTGACTTGCTTCTCCTGTCACTTTCAAGACTTGTCAAACGCGACACAAAGGCCCCTTCTCTCTTGGGGACGTGCAAGGCACAGTTCAACTCAGAGCAGGATGGGGAGGAGGAGGTGAGGGGGGTTGAGGTGGAAATAGAGGAACCGTGTTGAGGGTTGCGCGCTCATTTCTCTCCTTTTTGCCGTTTGTCCTGCTTGTATGCACCAGGGTCGCGCAAGGCACGGTTCAACTCAGAGCAGGACGGGGAGGAGGAGGAGGACGCGAGCCAGAGAATGCTGGCAGCCCTGCACCCCAAGATCGAGGTGGCTGCTGCGAAACAGGTGAGGAAGGAGGGAAGCAGGTGAGGAAGGAGGGAAGCAGGTGAGAGGGATGTTTGGGAGCAGCGGATGCTGCCAGCCCTGCACCCCAAGATGGAGGTGGCGGCGGCAAAGCAGGTGAGGCGATTGTGGTCAACACGTAGCTATTCGGTTGCACAAGGTGCTGCCAGAGGCGGTTCATCTCCTTGAGGGCTTCATGCCCTGTTTTACTGTTTTTCGGATTAAGGCGTCTTTTCCTCCCACAAGCTGTCGTGTGCTTGTCTCCTCGCGTGCGCGATGCGCGTTGCTGCACCCAAGGCAGGCAGGCAGGCGGGCAGGCTGACTTGAGGCATCATCGACTGTGTCTGGCACCGCACCCCACCCCTCTCCATCCACTAGATCACTCTTCGAGTCGTCGTGCGCTCATTCCCACACCCCAAGATCTACAAGGCAAAGCTTCTCAAGGCGGGCAGGCAGGCAGGGTAACTGAGTTTGACGCATCATCCACTGTTTCCCACACTCCACTCCATTCCACCGCGCTCCATCAGATGGCTCTCCAAGTCGTGGTGCGCTCAGCCCCTCGTGTGCGAGATGCCCTGCTCTATGAGGCAAAGCTGCTCAAGGGGGGCAGGCTAGCAGGCTGAGTTGAAGCATCATCGTCTGTGTCCGGCGCCGCATTCCACCCCTCTGCACCCCTCTCCACCAGATCACTCTCCAAGTTGTTGTGCGCTCGGCCCCTCGTGTGCGAGACGCGCTGCTCTACGAGGCAAAGCTGCTCAAGGCGGGGCTGGTGGTCATAGGGCCCGTGCGACGCACCATCACGCTTATTGGGTGAGTGAGCATGCCTATAACGAGAATGGTGGTAATGGGCTTCCCTGTTCTACGAGGCAAACCTGCTCAAGGCAGGGCTGGTGGTCATCGGGCCCGTGCGACGCACCATCACGCTCATAGGGTGAGTGTGCTTATAATGAGAATGGTTACGGGTTATACAAGGCAAAGCTGCTAAAGGCGGGGCTGGTGGTTATTGGGCCTGTGTGACGCACCATCGCTCTCATAGGGTGAGTGTGCTTATAATGAGAATGGTTACGGGTTATACAAGGCAAAGCTGCTAAAGGCGGGGCTGGTGGTTATTGGGCCTGTGTGACGCACCATCGCTCTCATAGGGTGAGTGTGCTTATAAAGAGAATGGTTACGGGTTATACAAGGCAAAGCTGCTAAAGGCGGGGCTGGTGGTTATTGGGCCTGTGTGACGCACCATCGCTCTCATAGGGTGAGTGTGCTTATAATGAGAATGGTTACGGGTTATACAAGGCAAAGCTGCTAAAGGCGGGGCTGGTGGTTATTGGGCCTGTGTGACGCACCATCGCTCTCATAGGGTGAGTGTGCTTATAATGAGAATGGTTACGGGTTATACAAGGCAAAGCTGCTAAAGGCGGGGCTGGTGGTTATTGGGCCTGTGTGACGCACCATCGCTCTCATAGGGTGAGTGTGCTTATAATGAGAATGGTTACGGGTTATACAAGGCAAAGCTGCTAAAGGCGGGGCTGGTGGTTATTGGGCCTGTGTGACGCACCATCGCTCTCATAGGGTGAGTGTGCTTATAATGAGAATGGTTACGGGTTATACAAGGCAAAGCTGCTAAAGGCGGGGCTGGTGGTTATTGGGCCTGTGTGACGCACCATCGCTCTCATTGGGTGAGTGAGCGTAAATGACGAGAATTATTGCCATGGAATTCTCTGGTACACAAGGCAAAGTTTCTGGAATCAGAGAGCTGGTGCTTTATAACGAGTGGCGCAGACCATCAGTGTTACAGGGTGGGCGAGTTTTCTTGTTGGTATCATATCACTCTTTATGCGCCCCTTCTTCTAATCCTTCCCCTGCGTCTCAGAGCTCTCCCCCTCTTACCCCTTCACATTATACTTCTCTCCTTTCAGTGGCAGTGCCGGGTCTGATGTGGACATGATGACGTTTCTCGCCGACCGGCTGTCTGCCAGCTGCAAGATCATGCTCGTCTCAAATAACGCCTGCTCCGCTACAAGACAAGGCAGGTTTGCTGACGTGGCAACCATGATGAGATTGAGTGTGTTATTACTCCCTTCCACATCTCTTTCTTCCCACTCACCTCCCTGCTCACACCCACCCTCCTCTCCTCTCCACATGCGTCCAGCATACCACTAACCATCCACATGCATCATGCATACCGCTAAGCATCCTCACTGTTCCTCCCCGTTTGAAACTGTCTTAAAGCCCTCCTCTTCACATGCATACCACTAACCATCCCCGCCGTTTCTCCCCCTTTCACTCCTCGTCCCTTCTTCCAATCCCCTTCTTCCCCCTTTCCCCTCCCCCTCCTTGTTGCCTGTTCCCCCGTCCCCACTTCCGTTTGCCCTTGCCCCGAACCCCGCACAGGGAAAGTGCCTGTTCCGCCTACCTCCCCCCAATCTCCGCGGATAGACCCAGGGGGAGGGGGAGGGGGGAGTGGCATGGGGGAAGGGGGAGGGGGGAGTGGCTTGGGGGGAGGGGGAGCGGGGCAGGGGTCAGGGGAGTATGGAGGGGGGTCTGATGGGGGCGGTGGGGTACCGAATGGGGGAGGAAGCAGAGGAGCAATGGGGGGAGGGATGGGGGGAGGAATGGGGGGAGGGGGGGTTATGGGGGGAGGGGGAGGGGACAGTGGTGGGGGCTGGCAGCAATGTCCCAGATCTCCCCGATCCCAATCCAACGGCCAGGATTTCTTCGCCCCTCCCCCATCCCCAGTCCCTCCTGCCCCGCCGACCGAAATCATTCGGGAAGTATACGGGCAGGACGAGTACGGGCAGCAGGAATTTTACCTGGACGAGCTCCTATTGGCCACGGATAATTTCTCCCCGCAGAGATTGATCGGGGAGGGCGGCAGTGGTCAGGTGTTTGTGGGGATGCTTCCACCTGGCAGGTGCCCTCAGGTGGAATCCCAGGGTGGGGGGAGCGAGGGGTGGGGGAGAGGGGGATGGGGGGAGGGCGGAACAGGGGGGGACGCAGCAGGGGGGGGCGCAGGGGGGGGGGAGCGGCAGTGGTGCGGCCAGTGGGGGTTGTCGGAAGGTAGCGGTGAAGAGACTGCGATGGTGGGGGCCGGCTGTAGCGGACGTGCAGGGGGCGGCAAACGCTCGGCAGTTTCTGGCGGAGCTGCGTGTGTTGAGGCGCATCCGGCACCCGAGCCTGCTGGGGCTGCTGGGGGTGTGTGCGACGGCGGGGGAGCTGCTGATGGTCTTCAACTTCCTGCCTAATGGGTCACTGGAGACGAGGCTGAGAGGTAAGGAGGGGGAGAGAGTTTCTGGGGAACCTGCAGGCTGCTGAGGCGCATTCGGCACCCGAGCCTGCTGGGGCTGCTGGGCGTGTGTGCGACAGCGAGGGAGCTTCTCATGGTGTTCGACTTCCTGCCCAATGGGTCGCTGCAGACGAGGCTGAGAGGTAAGGGTCACTAGGCAGTGACTGGGTGGGAGCACAGGGTGCTGGGCGTGTGTGCGACGGCAGGGGAGCTGCTCATGGTGTTCGACTTCCTTCCCAATGGTTCTCTTGAAACGAGGCTGAGAGCTAAGGGAGCCTCAGGGTGCCGAGGCGCATTCGGCACCCGAGCCTGCTGGGGCCGCTGGGGGTGTGTGCGATGGCGGGGGATTTTCTCATGGTGTTTGACGTCCTCCCCAATGGGTCGCTGCAGACGAGGCTGAGAGGTAAGGTGAGGAACTCCCAGGGGGGAACTGTATTTGGGTTGCAGGGACTGGGCAGCACAGGGTGATGGGCGTGTGTGCGAGCGACGTGATTGAAGAAGTGTTTTGAGACATCTCAAAACACTTCTTCAATCAGGGGATGACTGTATTTGGGTTGCAGGGACTGGGCAGCACAGGGTGATGGGCGTGTGTGCGAGCGACGGCAGGGGAGCTGCTGATGCTGTTTGACTTCCTGCCTCCACTGGCCCCAATGGATCTCCAAAGACGACGTTTGGCTGAGAGGTGAGCGGTGGGAAGCATGGGGCGGTGGGAAGCATGGGGCGGTGGGAAGCATGGGGCGGTGGGAAGCATGGGGCGGTGGGAAGCATGGGGCGGTGGGAAGCATGGGGCGGTGGGAAGCATGGGGCGGTATCAGTAGATGCTGGGTAAGGGTGACGGTGTGCGATGGAGGGAAAGGTGCTGATCACGGTGGTTGACTTTTTGCGCTATGGTTCCCTGGTGACACGGCTGAGACGTGAGGGAACCTTGGGTGGGGTTTTTGCTGGTTTGAAGGGGTGCCACGCAAGGACTTGGAAGCACAGGGTGCTGCCCGTGTGTGTGCGACTCAAATGAGGAGCTGCTGATGGTGTGTGTGACTTCCAACTCCTTGCGAGTGTTTTGAGACGTCTCAAAACACTTCTTCAAACACGTGACTTCCAACTCCTTGCGAGTGGCTTTCCCAATGAGTTGCTCGAGATGAGGCCGCCCTTTCAGACTTTACTGAATCTACCCCACCCACCTCTCTACTCCCTTTTCTTTCTCCCACCAGACCACACAAAGCCCCTGCTGCCTCGGGATTCATGCGCTTCTGTGTGCTGCTGCCTAATCGAACCCTTGCATTCCCTTTTTGGTTGTGCACAGACCACACAAAGCCCCTGCTGCCTCGGGATTCATGCGCTTCTGTGTGCTGCTGCCTAATCGAACCCTTGCATTCCCTTTTTGGTTGTGCACAGACCACACAAAGCCCCTGCTGCCTCGGGATTCATGCGCTTCTGTGTGCTGCTGCCTAATCGAACCCTTGCATTCCCTTTTTGGTTGTGCACAGACCACACAAAGCCCCCGCTACCTTGTGATTTGCGCATGCGCATTTCCTGTGAGGCGGCAACCGGGCTGGCCTTCCTGCCTGCCTCTGTGCCGCTATTCTGCCCTGCAAGTGAACCAGAAGCGAAAACCCCTGTTCCCCTCCCGTCCGTGTGGCAGACCACACAAAGCCCCCGCTACCTTGGGATCTCCGCATGCGCATCGCGTGTGAGGCGGCCACCGGGCTGGCCTTCCTGCACTCGTGCCGGCCGCCCATCATCCATCGGGACGTGAAGGCGGCCAATGTGCTGCTGGATGCCAACATGCACGCGCTGGTGAGTCAACGCTGGTCAACGCCAGTCAACGTCAGTCAAAGGCTGGTCAAAGGTGGTCAATACCACCGGGCTGGTTTTCCTGCACGCATACCGGCCGCCCATCATCCATTGGGATGTGAAAGCGGCCAGCGTTATACTCGATGCCATGCCCGGGTGAATCAACGCCAGTCAAAGGCTGGTCAACGTAGTCAACATCAATAAAATGAGTGCACTAGCAACCACAGTCAACGCTCGTCAACTCTGGTTTCCAGGGCAGTGTCCCCTGTTCTCCTCCTGTGTGCCTCTTCTCCCCTCCTTCGCCTTTCACTTAAGTGCGCTCTCACCCACCCGTTCTCTTTCTGTGTTCCTCCTCTCCCCTCCTTCGCCTCCCTTCCTGGGTCGTTAGGTCTCCGATTTTGGGCTGGCCAAGGTAGCTTCAGATCAGTACACCCAGCCAATGGCAGTTACCAGCATCATGGGCACCAGAGGGTGAGCCTTCATTTTTGTCACATCATTCTTTCTTACCGGTACCGCCCATTCGCTACAGTCACGCTGCTGCTACTAGCATGACTTGCAGCCGAGGTAGCTTCAGACCAGTACACCCAGCCAATGGCGGTTACCAGCATCATGGGCACCAGAGGGTGAGCCTTCATTTTTGTCACATCATTCTTTCTTACCGGTACTGCCCATTCGCTACAGTCACGCTGCTGCTACTAGTATGACTTGCAGCCAAGGCAGCTTCAGACCAGTACACCCAGCCAATGGCGGTTACCAGCATCATGGGTACCAGAGGGTGAGCCTTCATTTTTGTCACATCATTCTTTCTTACCGGTATTGCCCATTCGCTACAGTCACGCTGCTGCTACTAGCATGACTTGCAGCCAAGGTAGCTTCAGACCAGTACACCCAGCCAATGGCGGTTACCAGCATCATGGGCACCAGAGGGTGAGCCTTCATTCTTGTCACATCATTCTCTCTTACCGGTACCGCCCATTCGCTACAGTCACGCTGCTGCTACTAGCATGACTTGCAGCCAAGGTAGCTTCAGACCAGTACACCCAGCCAATGGCGGTTACCAGCATCATGGGCACCAGAGGGTGAGCCTTCATTCTTGTCACATCATTCTCTCTTACCGGTACCGCCCATTCGCTACAGTCACGCTGCTGCTACTAGCATGACTTGCAGCCAAGGTAGCTTCAGACCAGTACACCCAGCCAATGGCGGTTACCAGCATCATGGGCACCAGAGGGTGAGCCTTCATTCTTGTCACATCATTCTCGCTTACTGGCACCGCCCATTCGCTACAGTCATGCTACTGCTACTAGCATCACTTGCAGCCAAGGTGGCGTCAGATCAGATCAGTACACCCAGCCCATGGCGGTTACCAGCATCATGGGCACCCGAGGGTGAGCCTTCATCACATGAATGGTCCTTCATCACATTCTCTCGTACTGCCCATTCGCTATTGTCACACTTCTACTAGCATCATGGGCACCAGAGGGTGAGATTTACCAATACATTCTGTGTAATAACAAACGGATTCTTCATGTGTAGCCTAGTTACACACACCCAGTCGATCGCGGTTACCAGCATCGCGGGCTCCGGAGGGTTAGACTTCATTGTTGTCACATTCTCGCTCGCTGCCCATTCGCTATAGTCACACTACTACTAGCATCAGTAGCAGCCCTTGCAACCTGCTCACATGGACGAAAATTCTGGCCTCCCCAAGCACAGCAGTGCAGTGCAGTGCAGTGCGGTGGTTGCGGTGAAGGCATTTCCTCCTCAGCTAGTTGCCGTGTCTCTGTATAGTTCTATGCCCCCCAGTCCTCATGTCGTAGCACGCACCAAGCGCTCGCCTTCCTTTGCTCCTCAAAGACCTTCACCGCCTCCTCCTCTTCCTCCTTCTCCCCCCTCCCCCTTTGATGCCATTTTCCCAGGAACGTGCAAGCAGGGTTCACCACAGCAGCAATAGATGCGCCGTGATGCGACCTTGGGGCAAATTCCCCTCAGAAATGCAATGACTCTGCCTTCGACTTCTCCCCACCTCCCCCCTTGTTCCCTTTTTGTCAGCTACGTGGCACCAGAGTACGTGCAGACCGGCCTCATAACAGCAGCAATAGATGTGTACGCGTTTGGAGTCATTCTCCTGGAGCTTATAACGGGTCATGTGCCCTTCCACCCCGGCAGGCAACCCCCCAACCTCTCTGCCTGGGTAAGCCGCTTTCCCACCTGCCGTCCCGCATGTATGTCCTCTTTAAAGAGTACATCGCCATCTCCAACAAGAAGTTCACCTTAAAACCTGAACCCTCAACCCTAGACTCAAACTTCAAACCTTAAACCCGAAACGCAAAACCGTAAAACTTATGATCTCGGTGCATCTAGTGCTCACCCTCTTGCATACCCATACACGCCATGTGTGCCTGCAGGCCATCCCCATTGCCAACAACGAGGAGTTTAGGGTTTGACTATCATGCCTAATGTCATATCCCCTTAGGCCATCCCCATTGCCATGTGTCACATGCCTCGTGGACCATCACCTGGAGGGGCGCGTGTAGCGAGGGTGTTTTTGAGACGTCTCAAAAACACCCTCGCTATACGGTGGACCATCGCCTGGAGGGGCGCTTTGACCCTTGCCGTAGTGAGGTGAATAGAGGAGCACTGCTCATTGCCTTTCATCCCCAGCCTTGACCATCTCCGTCTGTCCCTGCAGGCCATTCCATCGCCAACAATGAGGGGTTCACTCGCCTCGTGGGCTACCGATTGGAGGGCGGCTTTGATGCCCTTCAAATTGCGACTCAGAAGACCAGGAGCACACCTGTCAGGCAATCAACACCCTTCGTCCCCCATTCGTGCCCATCCCCATCCCCATACCCATTGCATTGCAGGCCATCCCCATCGCCAACGAGGAGGGCTTGGGACTACCGTCTGAAGGGCCGCTTTGACGCCTACCGTAGAAAGGCGAATGCAGGCACACAGCTCAATGCATTTCCTCCCCATCCGTGCCCATCCCCATGCCCATTGCAGGCCATCCCCATCGCCAACAATGAGGAGTTCACTCGCCTTGTGGATTACCGACTTGAGGGCCGCTACGATTTAGCGCAGCTGCAGGCAGTGTCCATGCTGGCCGTGCTGTGCCTTGCTGCGAACCCCAAGCACCGACCGCCGATGGATCAGGTGCGTTACTTGCACAAGGAGGAGAGAGGAATTGGGGCGCTTGTTTGACCCAGCGCAGCTGCAGGCAGTGTCCATGCTGTGATGTGCCCTGCCTCCAACCCCAAGTTCAGGCTGTCCATGGTCCAGGTGAGCTGCATGTGTGGTGAGCAGGTGTGTAGAGCGGTTCACTGGCTTCAGGTGAGCTCCTGCTGTGCCCTGCCTCCAACCCCAAGTGCAGGCCGTCCATGGACCAGGTGAGCTGCATGTGTGGTGAGCAGGTGTGTAGAGCGGTTCACTGGCTTCAGGTGAGCTCCTGCTGTGCCTTGCGCCCAACCACAAGCACAGGCCGTCCATGGACCAGGTGAACCGCATGTGTGGTGAGCAGGTGTGCAGAGTGGCTTCAGGACTGGATAGCTATCTTGGGGGGTGGCCTGGCAATTGGGTAAAATCTCTAGGAAGCTCTACGCAGTAGAGACTTTATGTTACGGTACTCTTAGTCTTTCATATGAGTTTTACATATTTCCCCCTCTTTCAATCTCGTTTTTCGTTTGCCACGCAGGTTGTTACCTGGCTGAGGGACTGGATAAGGGTTCGCACCACCGAGCAGCTACAAACATAGTAGTGCATACTGTACACATTTGCATTACTAGGTGTAGGCTACTTACTACGTTGTATGCATTTTTGGGTTGCATTATATCCGACCAGCGCTCCTTCCGGCGATGCGCAAGGCCACGACGACGTTGTTGACCTCGCCAGGCTGCAATGCAATAATTGTCTGAGATCGTATTCCAAAGCACGGACACCATCCGAAGTGGCCCCATCCGAACTTCTTGGGGCTCGGGATGGTGTCTGTGTGGGGCAGGCCCCCAATCTTGACTTTTGGGGTCGCAGGTTGGCCTGAACAGTCGTCTGCGTCGTCTGACGCAGAGCCGGTTTGGTTTGCTTCGCGCCCAATAGAATCTGGCAGAACCCATGGAGTGTAGCCTGCCAAACGTCCAGTTCTGACTTCGCGGGCAATTGTGAAACTTCTGCCGCGAAATCGTTTTTTCCAACTCTATGCTTCTTGTTTCCCGTGCCTTGAAACCATACAAAACTGCACTCGTCATAACACATTCGACACCAACTACTAGCCAGCAAACTTCTTGGATCTGGAGTTTGTACAGCCGACTAGCGCGCGGGTCAGAATGCGTAAAGTTTCGTGACGGTAACTGGTCACGTACTCAGCCTGTCAGGTTCAATGTCCCAATCATACACCAACATGGCATGAAACCCCTTGTCGCATGAAGACGTACAAGACGGTCGCATGTTACGTGGCCGTCAGCTCCAAAGTGTCTTGATGCCGAACCGCGTGGCGCAACATTGAAATTCGAATTTCCAGCATTGCGAACCGCGTGGCCCGACTTCGGATGGTGTCCGTGCTTTGGAATACGCCCTGACCCTCCAATAATGTCGACAAGTCAACCTTCGTCCTTTCACTACCGCGGTGTTTGTTTGCGAAAGTTTCAGCGTGTCCCGCGACTGGTTTCGACAGCAGCTCCCCTCTCTCGTTTCTTTTCGCAAATCATCGCTGCTCTGTGTACATTGCACGTATCCGAAGAGCGAAGTGTGATCAGGTGCAGCTGCACATCTCACACCACGCACACTGAATAGGAAGCTCTTCCGCTCCTCCTAGCCTCAACCAGGAGCTCCGCACAACCCAAATAACAGCGACGCAATTCATCGTTGTGAATGTGAACTCAGCGATTCTGCAATTAGTGCCAGTTCAGCGAGAAATTTTCGAGAATGCATCCCTTGGGGCGACTCTGCATTTAGTGCCAGTCCACAAGCAGGCATTCTCGAGCATGATTTTTCGCTTTCTCATAATAAGTCCAGAAGCCTCAACAAGCTGGGAGGCGTATTGACCGACGGTAACACCGATGTAAACTCGACTTCGAGGACTGGTAAGCACAGCGAACTGCTTTAAGCTGGTGCTACTTGCACGCTGTAAAACATCTCAAGAGCACCTATATTGATTGGCGTACATGCACAGGACAATCGTATGATCCCCGAACCACATATGAACCCGCTTCACAACCTAATCAAAATAACGCGCAAGCACCACGGGCCCTGAAATAATACTACGTGCCACGTATGTGAAAGGTTCACCCCTTGACGCACTCGTGCGGCTTTCCCTGAACCGATTTGTACCCACTTGCACACCTGCACTTGAACTGCCTCCCACCTGCCGGAACGCACACGCCGTGGCCCGAGCATGGGCCATTCTTCTTACTCGTCCCGCAAAACAGCCTGCACGCTGCCGCACTTCGCTGCTGCTTCATGTTACACGTGGCGCTGTTACCGAGACAGTTCAGCGCCGCGAGATACTCGTCGTTGCCTTCGAAAGGATCCTCCTGCCCCTCCTCCGGGCAGATTTTGTAATTAGACATTGTAAACTCCGGGCTGCCCCAGAAATAGTTCCCGCGCACGTCTACCGGCGGTTCCTCATCCCCGCCCATGAACCCCAGATTCGGCATGGGCCCGGAGAAGAGGTTGAAAGATATGTTGAAATGAGCCACGTTGCTCTTCTTAAACGCATTTGCGGGAATCGCGCCGACGAACGCGTTGCGCTGGAGCTGGACGAGTTTCAACCATGGGGATGTTCTAAAGGCCGCCCAGGGAAACTCTCCACTTAGCCTGTTATAAGAAAGGTCCAGATTGTAGAGATTCGGCATGTTTCGGATTGAAGCCACAGGCACTGGTCCCGTCAGCCCATTTCCAGCCAAGCACAGGGATACCAGCCTTTTCATCTGCCCGAGTTCCGACGGCACACCTCCCGAAAGAAGGTTCCAACTGAGATCAATATCTGACAGAGATGGGTGGCTCGCGAGTTTGGCGAGAGACGAAGCTGCTTGCTGAGTAAATCGATTTCTCTGCAGTTCTAGGCGCTCGAGGCTCTGCATAGAGAGAAACACATTAGCTGGAAGCGCGCCCGAGAGCTTGTTACTCCCAAGACGCAGGCTCGTCATACCCGTGAGGTAGCCGAGGGTCGGTGGAATCGATCCCGTCAGTCGGTTCCCGCCCAAATAAAGCGTCTTCAGAGCCGCCAGTGCCGACAGTTCCCGAGGGATTTTGCCACGGAGGCGGTTCCATTGGAGGTCGAGGTGCGTAAGGCGACTGAGTCGCGAGATCTCGCGTGGGATGCTCCCTGTGAGCCCCGTCCCCTGCAGCACGAGCTCCGTTAGGCGGACGTAATTGAAGATGTAATCTGGGAGTTTGCCGGAGAGAGCACCATGTATGTTGTAGTCGAACGAGATCAGCTCCAGTTTTTTCAGATTCGCGAGGCTCTTGGGCAAGCTGCCGAAGATGCGCCGAATACTGGAGACACGAAGCGTTTTCAGCTCCGTCAGGTTTCCAACGGATTCCGTCAACTCGCCGGTGCATGCCGTATAGTAGTCGCTGGAGATGTGTAGACCGGTAACCATGCCGCGTCTGTCGCACCCAACGCCATACCATTTAGAGCAGTCGGCGCCGGCTATCCACGTCTTGATAGCCGGACAGTCACGCCATGCGGTTTTCAAGGAAAGTAGAGCTGTTTCTTGCGAGGGGATAAGGCGAACGGCGTTGGAGTGAAGAACAGCGAAGGCAAGTAGTGAGACTAGCAGAGTAAAACGCGCGAGCAAGGCCGATGTCATTCTCGCTTTTGAAAGGATGAAGGAAGTACTACAGCTTGATCCAATAGCAGGTTCGAGGCTTGATGCCAGGCTGTGGCAAGGAAAGTTGTTCCAGGAAGTGATCGATGTTAGAAAAGGATACATGTGCTGGCGTTATATTCTGAAGTGTGGAGCGCAGCTTCAGAACCCAACATCCAATGTGGAGCTGGCAGGCCGAGCTCCAATAAAGCTGAAGCCTGCTGCTGACACTGAAAAGCATGAACATTGGAGGGCAAATTTCGGATCGAAGGAAATTCTTCTCGATACACAAATAGCTTGGGAACTAGTCTGACCGCTTGTCCTTGGTGCTAGTTGAGTCTTGTGTGTACAGTGTGGTAACCACTGGATCTTTTAAATATGACGTCCCCAATGCTCTGTTCAGGACGGGCGTGTGGAACTGAACACGCCTTCTTGCATGCTGGTCAGTTCACGTCAAGATGGTCACTTGTGTCAAGGCGCGGTGAAAGTGGAGAATCGATCGCCTAAGGATCGTTTTGTAGCGCGGTTATAAAAGGTTGTATACCTTTCGTGTCTAGAACACGAGGTTCAGTGCGGTGACCGAATCGATCGACCCCCGATCGAGCACTTTCACCGCGTCCTCAGCCCTTTTCATGGAATTACTTACACTTGGTCGCATGCACTCAAACTTTGAGTGTAGGAATTGTTGAGTTCTTTTGAGTGAGCGAATGTGTTATGAATGAACTTGCAGAGTGCGCAGAATATCGAATATCGAGAATGAGTACTGAATTCACTGAATCCACAATGAAGTAACGAGGCCTAGATAGGAGAAAACCTAGCTAGGCGGGGGTTCGGGATGGGATGGCTCGGTGATGGTTGCGATTGGAGCGGAGGCCGACTCGGGAGTGGCTCGGTGCTACGAAATAGGAAGGTCAGGTTCGTCGCGTGACCCTCGGGATGGCCTCGCTAACGAGTGCCTCAGTAAGGATTTGTAAATCCTTACACTCTCCCACCTTCTAAATAAGGCAGCCCTGTACTGAAAACAGGCCCCACACTAGCGAGGATGCCGTAGATCTCCCCTTCAGCTGAATCCGACGGCTGAAATGCCTTTGACAATTTTTTTGAAAAGGTTGGAATGTAGGGCGTTGATGAAGTACGATTTCGATCTGACGGTCGAAGATGAACAGGCCCAATATGAAGTAGAGGTTCGAATGTGGGCCGTTGATCGAGCAAATGTAGATCTGACGGTCGAAGCAGTTGCGAGTTTGGAGGGAAGTGTCAGAATGAGGAATGGTGTTTCCATTGATGTTGGTTGGGGTACATATGACAAACCCTAACTTCTGTACCCCCTAAGACAAACCTCACTACAGGCTA